GGGGGGGGGGGGAGAGGGGCATCCTGATGCCCCACTGCCACCCAGGAGGCCCAGGAAGACCCACTTGCCACACGTCCCTCAGAATGACGGCTGGGCACCCACAATCCCCCTTCCTTGGCGTCGGGAGGGCAGACGGGCGAGCCTGAAGGAAGCAGGCCAGAACCGTCACGTGAGCAGAGAGAGCAGACGTCCAGAGTGACCCCCGTTCCTTCCCGGGTGGCTGAAGCGCCGTCGGCTTGCGAGCTTCTGTTACCAGAGCCCATCTCAAGTGAGCCGCTGTCCCGATCGCATCTGCCTTGTGGGGCTGACATCAATCGGCAGCAGAATTGCCGAGCAGCAGAGGTGCTTTACTGCCTCCCCGCCACGCCAGGGAACCGTAACACTGCCTCCTTCAGGAGCGTTCAGCCCTCTTGGCTGAGGTGACGCGCCTTGCCATTTCCCTCCGGGTCATCTTCCTGGCACGACAGGCACAGAGGCCCACGGAGGAAGCCCCGAATCAAGGCCACATTACTTGCCCACTGTGGTGGCTGCTCCTCCTTCCGTTCTGCTAGCTCTGCAGAGCAGGAAACCAGGGAGGCCGCCTCCATCCTACTCAGCCCCCTCCAGATGAGGCAAGGGCAGCAGAGCACCCGGCTACAGCTGCTGGCCTTGCGCAGTACCCCAGAAACCAGCAGGGATGGTGATATTTGTTGGGGGGGGCCCATCCCCTCAATGGAAGCCTAATGCCAGGCCACCGAGGCAGCCGCTGCAGAGCTCAAGCGCCCCAGGAACGCTGTGCCGGAACGCTGTGCCCTCAGCTCTCCCTGCCGAGGCCTACCCGGGCAGGCTGCACCCTGGGTTCCAGGGAAGGAGGGGCTCAGCCCCCAATGGACCCCCAGCACCACCCTCTGGCTACGGAGGCCTGGGCTTGGGTCACGGAGACTCTGGCTAACCAGCCTCCGTCAGAGAAAGGCGACAATGGTCTGGAGCTGGGATGCAACAGGAGTTGCTTGTGATTTTTACACGAGGTGAGGTTAGAGGCACAAAATGGGGTTGCAGGAGCAGGTTTCAAAGCCCCTCAGGGAAGGCCGGCCACCCCTGCTGCTCAGGGGAAAGGAAAAGAGGAAGCCAGAAAGTGAAAAACGAAGGGTCAGCGAGAAAATGGGTGCTCCTCCGCCCGGGCTACGCCCACAGCCTTCCCCGAGGTGGAAGACTGAGCGCACGGCTCCTGCCACCCCTCACCTGGCCCCGGTCGCCACCCAGGCGTCGTACGTTTGGTCAGCAAAGCCTGAGTTCTCAATGAGGCCGTCGCCGTCGGTGTCGAACTTCAGTTCCGAGTCCATCACGGCCTGCGGGAGGCAAAGGAGAAGCGGTCCGTGGGGGCCCGTGGGTCGCAGGCAGCCCCCGCCCTGCAGCTTGCCCGCCTCCCCACCTGGCAGACAGGCCACATGTCCCGCAAGAAGGCCGTCTCCTGCATGAGGTAGTAGTCCCGGTAGACCTGCAGCACAAACTTCAGGTTGAGGTCCTTCCAGGCAGCCGTGTCGTGTATCAGGTAGGCGTTGACCCGCTGCCAGGGCTCATCGTCTGGCGGAAGAGAGCGGGGTAGGTGTGGCAGCCCTGCTCCCCAGCCAAGCCCAAAGGGGCCCCGCCACACTCCTTGGGTCCTGCAGCAGCATGCCCAAGGAGGGGCCCCACATTCCCCCAAAGGCTTCTGCCCAGCCCAAGGCAGCCTTTGCTGAGAAGCCCAACGCTTCCTCCTGCCCGAAGACACGGAACGGCAGAGGGCGTGCAGCCCACCGGAGCAGTCCCGCGCACCCCGATCCCTTCTCCAGGATGAGGACTCGGCGAGAGGGCTCCGGGGGAGCTGTCCTTTGGGCGCGTTCAGGCAAGCCTGGGGCTGAACTGGACCCCCCCGCCTTCCTGAGGGAGAGCCCCGGAAGGTCGACACCCTCTCCTCCCTCCCAAGCAGCAAGACCCCCGAGCCCGGGGCCAGTGGGCGGCAGCGGCTACGACGCTTGCTAACCGCCAGGTACAGCCGGCTGAAAGCGCGCCACGTCCTCGGACCCGGTGACCGCGGGAGCCGGGTTTGGCCTGCATCCGGACGGGAGATGCCCCACCTGGCTCTCCGACGTCATGCGGAACCACGTTGCGCAGCTTCACCGGGGCCATCTGCCCGCTCATGAGGTACTGCCGAGTGCGCGCATCCTCGTTCAGCACAGCGGCAGCTGGAGCAGGGAAGGGCAGAGTTAGCAGCCGCTCCAGGAGCAGCCCAGAGCCCCAGGCCCACACACCCAGCCCTCTGCCTGGGAGACTCTGCCACCAGCTAAGAGGACTGCCCCCTTGGCACAAGCCAGGGCATCAGCAGAGATGGAGCGCAAGGGGGGGGCTTCCCCTGCCACCCACAGAGCCCTACCGGGGCCAAGAAGAGGAACACCCGCCACCTGGGGCACGCCTCCTGCAATCCTGGCCGAGGAATGCCGCACCGACACTCAAAGCGGGGAAGAGAGAACTGAGAAGGGCACCCACCCATGTCATACTGCAGGCTAAGCTCCAGCTTGGGCCACAGCATGGCAAGAGCAAAGGAGGCGTAGAAATGGACGTCGTAAGTATTGTACATCCGGTACTCCTGGCCTAGAAGGAAGCGGCGGCAGCAGCAGCAGCAGGGCATCAATTAGGGCACCGCTATGCCAGGGAGCCCCTCGTGGCCCCCTCCATGGGGGAACCCCAGGACGCCACCCAGGGCAAAGCCTCACAGGCACCCACCTTCCAGATAAGCAAACCTCCCATACTCTTGCAAGACCGGAAGCAGCTGGGAGAGGCCCTGGGCGCCGTGCAGCGCAGCCCTGTCCTCGGGCAACAGTTCCACCCACAGGGTGCCTCCGTCAGCCAGGAAATACAGCTCGTTGAAGAGGGCTGACTTGTACCAAGGGGGCAGGTCGCTGCAAGAGGCAGGAAGAGGCTCCTCAGCAGGGGCCTCGGGGGAGCTGGGCATCCTCCCAGCGGCGGGCTCGATCCGACCAGAGAAGCGAAGGGCTGGCTGTCCGCAGAGGGAGGGCCAGGACCCCGGCAGGCATGCAGACCTGGCCTGGTAACCCGGGCAGAGAGGGCATGGCCACCAGCCCAGCAGAAGCAAAGCGGAGCCAAAGTGGGCGCTGGGGTGGTGGGGGAGGCAGGGCCCCCCACGCTCTCGGAGCCTGGACAGCCCCAGGCAGGAGCACAGCCTGAAAGCAGCCGTGTTTTACGGCCGTCGTTTGGCCAGAGCGGATCGTGGCCCCTCAGCGGAGGGATGGAGGGAGAAATCTGGCCCGGAGCAGCACCTCCGAAGCCCCTGCAGAGCTCAGCCGGGGTGCTACCTGTTCCCCAAGATGGGCTCCTGCCAGGCCTCGATCCTCTCCTCCCACTCCTTGTAGCGGCTGAGCAGATGATGGGAGAGCGCTGGACAGGCATCCCCGTCCCTGCCAAAGAAGCGCGTGTACCACCTGCGGGCAGAGAGGAAGGCGGGACCCTCAACCAGCCAGAGCGGGGTCTGCTGGCACCAGTCAGGAGGCAAAAGACAGCTGGGAGCGGCTTCCCCGACCCACGCAAAGGACTCTCCAGGCAAGGCGCTCCCCCTGCCCCGCAGGCAGCAGCAGGCAGGGGGCCTGGCCCTGACCGAGGAACCGGGACAGCCTCTGGGCAAGGAGGCCCAGCAGCTCTCGGCGTTGTGGTCTGGGGGTGAGTCTTTCGGATGACTTAGTGGGCTGCCAAGAAAGGGGCTGGGTTCCAACCACCCACCGAAGCCCCAGCGCCCAGCCCCTTTGGGCCAAGCCTAGGTGCCAGCGCTGCCCCTCCCAGATTTGTCACCCGGCCAGCCCAGAGGGGAAGGCTCTCTGATGAAACCAGATGCATTAGCCCTTCGGGGAAAGAGAGACAACTTCACGCTGCAGCCCCCGTGGGGTGAGCACGCTCCCTGGCCGCACAGCCCTGGAGACCGCCGGCTTCCACTTCGCAGAGCAGAAGAGGCCCACTCTTGGCAGAGCCACGCAGGTCACCCTCCCGAGAGAAAGAGAGCAGGTGGGCACAGAGACCCCCCATGAGCCAGTCCTTCCCGGGAAACACCCACCGATGATGCTCCTTCTCCCTAGATCCAAAGCGAATGCAAGGCATGTCCCAGGCCAGGCCCAGCTCCAGCACTCCGTGACCATGGCCTGCCACCACGCGTGTGGCACAAACTGCTGCTGCACAAGCCTCCCCCTTCTCTGTGGGGGGACTCTGACCTACAAGAGAGAGCCCTGCAGGTCAGGGGCCGAGCCTCCTGCCCTTCTCTGATTGCCTTCCACAGCCCAGGACTCACCTGGAGGAGATGCCAGCCGGCCATCTGCCAGGAGATCCTGCCAAACCTCCTGTCCCGTGCCAGCAGGGTTGAAGGCTGTGAAATGGGTAACGGTGACGCCTGCCTGAGGGGCCAAGAAAGAAGGAAACGATCCAGTCCATCTGCAGCTGGCAGAGGCCAGTGCCAAGAGGCAGCAGGGGTAGGATAGGCCAGGCTCCTCCCGCCCAGCCTTGTCTGGGCAGGACAAGAGTCAAGAGAGCGCCAAGGGGGCAGCAACTGGAGCCGTGGCCTTGGAGCTCCAAGGCAGCCACGGGCGTCGCAGGAGGAACGGAGGCACCCTTAGAGCCGGCTGGGGGGCCACTGGCAAGGGAGCCATCTAAAACCCAGAGGCGCGTGCACTGGAGGTGGGAATTCACCTACCGGCCCTTCCCTTAAACAAGAGCACTCGCCCCTCAGGGAGCTGTAAGTAGAGAAGCCGCAGAGAAGCCAGAACCAGCAAAGCTACGTACCAAGAGGTGCTCCTGATCTTTGTTGAACTTCAAGAAGCCCCCTCCCACAGGCCTGCAAGAGGAGCCCCAAAGGGCCCCGTGGACAGCCAAGCGTTTCGGGCCTTTCCCAGCCACCCGCACTTCAGGCCGCTGCCCAACGAATGGCTCTCTCACCCCGCTTGCCCTGGGCCATCTTTAAGTCTTCCGGGGAAGCCGGCCTCTGGGCTGCCTGGGGTCTCCCAGGGGCTTACCTTTTCCCGGGCAGAGATGGCCAGGGTATAGGGGTTCACAGGAGTAACGTGGTGCAGCATCACGCCACGGACGCAGCAGCCCTCCTTCTCCAGGCTGAAGGGCTCATTCCAGTGCCCGCCTCGCCGGTCCTCCTTGGTCTCCATGCCGTTTTGGAAGGTGAACATGATGGAGACCTCCACCTCCTCTGCGCTCTCATTCTCCACCTCCCAGACAAAAACTCCCACAGGGAGGCTCGAATCCTAAGCGCACGACACAGGTGGACTGAGCACCTCAGAGGAGCCACACAGCCTCAGACCCCAGGCCTGCCTGGTCTGGCCGCCCACCCCCGGCTCCCTTCCAGGAGCACTTGAGTGAGATGGGATTCAGAAGCAAACGCTCCCCCGCCCAAAGCTTTGGCTAGAAGGCGCTAGCAGCCCGTCCTCCGCCAGCATTTTATCACGTCCCTCCTAAAGGAATCCGCCGCTCCCTCTTGTGGCACTGAATTCGGTAGGGGAAGCCTTTCCGGAGGGCTCTGTCCCCTCACGTCCCTAGTGGGCTTTCTCCTTCTCCAGCCTCCTTGGCTCAAAGACCGGGTTCCTGTGACGTGCTGATCCCCAAACCCAGATTAAGAACCCACACACGGTACCCAAGCCAATCAGCCACATCACAGCTTTCGTCACGCAGCCCGCTAAGAGACCGGCTGCAGCCCGCTAAGAGACCGGCTGCGTTCCCAAAAGACAGAGGGACAAACTGGACTGGATTCAGGCCCGGCCATGCTACAGAGGTGGTCGGACAAGGAGACCGTTCTACGGACGGTTTCTGGGGAGCAACGCTCTTCCCCCGGCCCTGGCAGTGCCGCTCTTGGGTCTTCAGAGGGGCATCCGGCTGCCCACGTAGCTCCCCTGGCCTCCACGAA